CTCTTAGTGCGACCCTTGCCTGGTCAGACTTACTCCTCTCTCTTGGGACCTGCGACATCTGCTCCTTCTGCAACCTTTCTCCTGACTATGCTTTTATAACTGATCACGTTTGCTTAATAAGTCCAAACCAGAAGAGGTATGTGCTATTGATGCCCCTTTCTACCAACCCCAGACTAAATAACCTTGGGTTTTGTTTGGTTTTATTTGTTTGGGAGATGGGCACATGAGAGCGCTGAGTTACACAAGATCAGCCAAGATACCTCCGTGCACTAACTGAATTCTCATTGTACCAAACAAACGACTGACACTTGTTCATCTCAACCTCAGAATTATGTACAAATGATCAGTTGTCAAGAGGAAGGAATGAGAAAGCAGGCCATGTAACTAAACAGATTCTTTAAAAGACAAAGCTAAAGATCAATGCAAGGATCAAACAATGTAAACAATAGCCAAGAAGCCAAAATCCTGAGGCTATTTTGAGGGGACCTGGTGTAGTCCTTTTTCATCTGTTACTTTGTGAATGCACTATTTTCCTTCAGTGACAGTTTGTTACCTACTCTGGTTTGAGAGATGAATTCCTTTGCCACTGCCTCTGTCTTCATATGTTCCTGACCTAGGTGGTCAAACTGCTGCAACAAACCTCCCAGCCTTGGGTTCAGGCACTTTATGATTTTGTAGCTGGTCAAATTGACACAGAGGTCTCTCAGAAGAGACACACAAGCTCATACAGGCCAACATAAAGGTACTTTTGTTACATCATCTAGCCCAAGTGGTGCCCACACCATGCTCTTTGCCCTTTCTGTTAATTGCAGTTCTGCTCTGCTGGCCCCTCAGATAAAAGTTTACATTAACTCCTCCTGCACCCATGTATTGCTCCCAGTTGTTACCGCCATCCAGCTCACATTCTCTGTCCTTGGTTGCCTTCTTATGATCTCTCAATTTCCTGTCTCCTGTCATTCCTCATTTTGTTTCTGTAGTAAGTGTTAAAGTGCTACTTTAGCTAATCCACAACCCTCCTGAAATACATTTATTTGATCAGATTATGTACCCTAATAGATTTCTACATCCTGGACTCAAGCTAATTTTTCAACCTGACTGCAGAGTAAGAGCTTATTTCAAAACCAAACAACTCTCTGTGAATATGCAGAATGTTTGGTTTTACTGTAGGGTAATCAAGTATGGATGCAGATTTTCATCCAAAAATCTTTGTATGAAATTATACGTCTTTTTCTAGCTCTCAAGTGAAAAGTTCCTCCAAATCTTTGTTAGCTTGAATAAGCCTGGCCACCAGCATTCTGAGAATGGGACCGTGTGTGAAAGCTGCATCTCATAGATCAATAAAGTGCTGTTCAGTTGCCCCATTATCATCCTTCCTCTGTCTACTCTGGTTCTCAGTTTGCCTGGAGTCAAGTCCAGAATGCCGTTAGGGAGTAAACCCACTCACTGCCTTCTTCCAAGGTAGAGTAGGCAGGAGCAGTTCCCTGTACCCCTAGAAAAGATATTTGAGGTTCTTAATACAGTCTTTTAGGTGACCTCAGACAATCCTCTTGTTTTGTTCATTTTGCTTTTTGTTTTATGAGACAGTGCCTCACTCTCTGGAACTCACTCCAGCTCTGGCTGGCCTTGAACTTTGGGCAATCCTCCCACTTCAGCTTCCCAAATGCTGGGATTACAGGTGTGGCCACTATGCCTGGCAGTCTTGTTTTCAATTCAGTGCTATACTTAATACCCTCAAAAGTCTGGTTCCTGAAATCCCTGCCTTTCTGTGTGCATCTACTTGCTTGCTGACTCTTTGCATTGGTGTCTAAGGCTGCAGTTGACTGTTCTAAGACCATTACCACCCAGTCATCTGGTCATCTGCTTTCTAATTTAATTGTTTCTTAGATATCATTTCTCTTCTCATTCACCTTTTCTTGATGAGCTTATATCTTTTTTCTTTAATTACCATTTTGGTATGTAGAGACAACTGCTTGCATCACCTTGTTTAATCTGAAACCTATAACTAATCTTCAAGACTGTGTTCAAAGCAGAGTGTGGTCCCCCACACCTTTAATCTCAGTACCCAGGAGGCAGAAGCAGGTGGATCTCTGTGAGTTCAAGGCCAGCATGTTCTCCATAGTGAATCCAGCTGTGGCTACAGGGAGACTCTGTCACAAAAAGACAAAAAAAGGGGGGTGGGGGATTCTGTTCAGTAGTATTCACCTGCATAATACTACCGACTTCTGGATTCCTATCCACAAAATACTTCTTATACTTCTAAACTCTTTACCTGCATATACAGGATGGTATACAGCTCACTCTGAGCTGCTGTTAGTTATTTGTGCAAAGGAGAGAGGTCTTGCTTCATGAAACACAATGGGTCTGGTTGGGTTTCCTGTTCTTAAGTGCCTATCATGGTGAACAGTGATAGATATATTAATTTAATGATTAAATATGTAGGATCCTGGAACAATCAACCAATATATTCCTTTTTTTTTTTTTTTTTTTTTTTTTTTTTTTGTAGCCCCTAGCTGGCCGGGGCCAGCCTAGAACTCATTATGTAGGCCATGCTGGCCTCAAACTCACAGAGATCCGCCTACATCTGCCTCCCAAGAGCTGGGATTAAAAGGCATGTGCCACCATGCCAGCTCAACCAATACATTCTTTGAATTTAAATGTTAACATTACATTCTATGTTTGGGGATTGCAGTTGTGTTAATTTTTTTGGTATACCTTTCATCTTATGAAATACTTGCCTCCCTTAGCTTATGAGGTCTTCGGAGGAAAGGGCCTTGTAACTTTTTTCTTTTACATCATTTCTTGCAGCTCTTACCTGCCTCTTTAGACATGAGATACTCAAACACTAATTGCCTCTAGGTGGGAAGTAAAGGAGATGTGAGGCAAATTTGGCTCTCATAGGGCGATTTTGGGGGACACATGTGCCATCTGGAAAGTGGGCTGGAGATGTGAAGTAACTTGGTGAGCAGAGGAAAAGCAGTTGGAAGGAGAATGCTTCATTTTCTTCTCTAAACAGTGTTTGCTTGTTCCAACAGGCCAGTTGCAGTACTGAGCTCTCACTGTGCTGTTTTCCCTTCCGGTCACTCATACCCAGCACATTTCTGCCTCAGGATTTATGTTGTGCCTGCCACCTAAGACACTTTCCCTCAAATTATCCATGCCTTTCTCTTCCTCTTTATCCAGGTCCTTACTTAAAATGTTAGTTTATCATTAAGAGCTCCATCAACTTTCCTACATAAAATTTAAAAGTCTCTTCAGCATATTTTATCTCCCCTTGTGTTAAAATGTTTTTCTCTCGTACTTAACTTCACATGAGTTATTATCTGGTTGTTCATGTAGTTTCTGTCCCCTCCATCCACACATTATGATCTGGGAGGGCAGTATCTATTTTCTTCAACTATGTATTCCCAGCCCTTAGGATTGTGACTTCTGGTACTGAGGTATTCTTACTTGTTTTCTGAATTATTAATGCTTCTTAAAGTGTAATCCAAACTCCACTTACACTGAAATACTGGCTAGAAATGCCAAATTAAGGACTAGCAAGCCTCACATGAGAGGTATGATATGTATTTTAAATTTTTAATTAACAAGTATAAAGCAATAATGAAATAGCTTAACTAAGTGCATAAAGGCAAAGCCCAGTAAGAGTAAATAATGACATGCATGCACTGGTTCTCAGGTGACCAAAAAAAGAGACAGCAAGTTCTAGTAGAGATGGTCAAAAGGACTTCCTTAGTTTAATATTTGTAAATAACATGAATGATAAATAAAGCAGTAAACTTTGACTCCTATAGGTCAGGAGATGTTGCACCAGCTGGATAGTGGTGTGCAAGGTCTGTAGAAAGGCCTCACTCCAGCTTCAAGAAGTCCAAGGTAAGAAGAGACCTAAGGGGGCGGAAGCAGGATGATCAGCAATTTAGAGTCAACCTCAGCTACTTAGCAAGTTTGAGGCCAGCCTGAGCTATGAGACCCTGCTTTGGAAAAAAGAAAAGAAAAAATAAAGACTTAGAATGAGAATTTCTTTTTCTCATTATATTTATAGACAACTTAGTTCATTTAAATGTGTCTTGGGTACCTGTCTCTTGTTTCATATGACATAAGTGTGGAGCTATGTTGCATGTAACTTCTCCTTGTATGCTCTAATGACAGAACTGATAACAAAGCTGAAGCTTCCTGTGTTTTGAGTTGGTCTTTAAGGAGTGTGGGCACGTTACATATACCCATCATCCTGTCGCTCACTTGGAAAATTTTCAATAAGGTACAGTGTGTGGTTGTAGATATGGCTCATCTTTCACTGGCTTCATTAAGCAGACATAAGAAACCCAGCAACCTCATTCATATAGGGTTTTGATTTGGAAAAAATTAGGTTGGGCTGAGGATGTAGCTCATGAACAGAGCATTTGCTTATGCTGTGTGAAGCTCTGTATTTGATCTCAAGCACTGGAGCAAGAGGGAGAGGAAGGAAAGAAAAGCAGACTGCTGAGCTGCTGCTCTTATTCTAACCAGTGCACCAGCTTCCTGGGTCTCAGCGAGGCCAGGTGTCACTTTAGAGCAGCAAAGAGGCCAGTGTGGGAACAGACTGGATCGGATCCAGCTTCCTTCAACATCACTACCGGTTATTTGATTAAAACAGAACCTAACTAGGCATGATTCATATTGACACATCATGCTTTATGTGGGAAGGACAGCAGTTCTAGGGGAAAGCTGCCATTGTGGAGGAAACCACTCAATTTTCTGTTCTAGAAAACCAACACCTTAGCATTGTGGGACATCAGTCCTTGCCAGTCAGCTTCATCATCAGCATGTAACTACTTTCTCTCCAGAAAGAGCTTTTCAGATGTTTGAAATGTTTAACTATGATAAGTATTGTATTCATTATCACTGTTGTGATTTCTGTGAGGCCATATACCAACTCTCCCCAGAAAAGTGGATCTTTTCTAGAAGTTCTGCCAACTCGATTCTCGAAATCATCATTTTCTCCTTTGATTTCAGCAGGTCTGTCCTTTGAAAAAAATTCAATGAAGTACATGAATGAAGGTTTTCCAGAAGATTTCATTCTCATGGGCCTTACCAAATACCCATGGCTGGATCTTCCTCTCTTCTTCGTCCTCCTGGCCTCCTACATGTTCACATTGCTGGGAAACATTGCTATTATTCTGGTCTCTCAACTAGATTCCCAGCTTCGAAGTCCCATGTATTTTTTCCTTACCAGTCTTTCATTTCTGGATCTCTGTTTTACCACCACAACTGTCCCTCAAATGTTGTTTAACTTAGGGGGGCCCAACAAGAACATCACTTACATAGGCTGCATGGCTCAGGCCTATGTGTTTCATTGGCTAGGCTGTACTGAGTGTGTCCTGCTTGGCATCATGGCCTTAGATCGCTATGTGGCTGTGTGCAAGCCCCTGCGGTACTCTGCCATCATGGACTGCAAGCTCTGCCTGCAGCTCTGCAGCACTTCTTGGCTCACTGGCCTGGCCAATTCAGTACTGCAGTCCACGCTTACCGTCCAGCTTCCTCTCTGTGGGAACCAGATGCTGGATCACTTCTTCTGTGAGCTGCCTGGGCTTATTAAAATGGCTTGTGGTGACACCACAGTCAATGAGATTACCTTAGCAGTGGTGGCCACAGTCCTGATAATGGGTCCCCTCTCCATGATCCTGGTGTCTTATAGTTACATTGCTCGAACTGTGTTTCGAATCCCCTCTGCTGCTGGGAGACTTAAGGCTTTCAACACTTGTTCATCACACTTACTGGTGGTGTCTTTATTTTATGGGCCAGGTATCTACATCTACATGCAGCCTCCAGAGGACAGTTCCCAAGACCTCATCAAGGTCTTGACCCTGTTTTACTGTGTCATTACTCCTATGGCCAATCCATTCATCTACACCCTGAGGAACAAGGAAGTTATAGGAGCTTTGAGGAGGCTTCTAAAGAAGGCCATTTCAACTATGGAGATATGAAAAATGATGCTTTTTTTCTGAATGTGAAGGCCCAACAATAATGTGAAATGTCCTTTTGGTTTTTCCTTTGCTTTGTTTGAAAGAGGGTGTTGATATGTAGCCAAGGCTGACCTTGAGTTTGTGATCCTCCTGCTGAAACTTGTAGAGTGTGCATCATCACATCCAATTTAAATGTCCTTTTTAAAAATATATGTTCCATCTAAACCACCCTCAAAACTTGAGTCAAGGGGGCTGGAGAGATGGCTCAGTGGATAAGAGCACTGACTGCTCTTGCAGAGGACCCAGGTTTGATTTTCAACACCCACATGGCTGCTATGAACCATCCTTAACTCGAGTTCCAGGGGACTGAGCCCTCTTCTGACTTCTGTGGCATGGCATTACACAACACGGGTGCACTCACATACATGCAGGCAATACACTAATACACACAAAATAAAAATAATAAATAAAATATTTTAAAAAACCAGTCGAAAACTTTTGCTTATGAGTGTAATCACCTTTATAAGAAAACACCTAATAGTTGGTATGAAAATGCTTCTGCTGTAAAATGCCAAGGGTAAGTGAAGTTCTTGAACAAACAAATCTGAAAAGAATGACCTTGAAAAGTGTCTTATTGTATTGACTTTAAAAAACCTAAAAATAATGCATAAAATTTTCATTAAAGTATAAAATTACTTTTATGAGTTATATCTAATTATTCAAAGGACTTATAAAGAAAGTATCAATAGCAAAAGAAAATTATATTAAACAACTATGTTGATTCCATAGGCTGTTAGTATGGTTAATAATTAAACTGGACCTAGATTACATACCATAAATTATAATAAACTAAATGTTAATTTTAAAGTGATTTTTATTAAAAATATTTTCTATCATGGTTGTTAAAAAGGAATATATTTCTGACAACTGAATAAATGGAAAACTAAGACCAAAACAGGATAAAGATGTGTTTAACAAAGTAAAAAAGAAGTCCCTTCCCTAAATTAAAACAAACTGAAACAAACAAAAACGTTACTGGGTGGGGGCGGGCAGACAATGAGAACAAAGCATAATGACATACTGTATAAAGATGCTACAATGAAACCCACTAACCTAAAAAATTAAATTTTTTTTTCGTCTTTTTGAGACAGGGTTTCCCTGTAGCCTCAGCTGTCCTGGAACTCACTATGTAGACCAGGCTGGCCTTGAACTCACAGAGATCTGTCTGCCTCTGCCTCCTGAGTGCTGGGATTAAAGGTGTATGCCACCATGCCCAGCTAAAAAATTAATTTTAAAAAGCAGAATAAAACAGAAAAAAAATTCACTATCATGCTGACCTTGGTGACTCACACCTATAATCCCAACACTTGGAAGGTACAGACAGGATGAGCAGGAGTCAAATGCCAACCTTGGCTGCATGAAGGCCTGTCTCAAAAAACAAAAAACAAAATCTGACCATTCTATCATAGAAAATACATATAACCACATACTGGGTGGAGAAGCACTATTTTATTGGCTCTAGCACACACTGTGAAATGCCCAAATCAAGCTAATTAATATGTCCATCAAACAGTTGCCTTTGTATGTTGTGGTTGTCACTGGGGCACAGGTTCTTGATCTCATTGATGTTTGAAAAATGAACTCGGCAAGGAATGGGAACACAACTTACTGGAATAAAAATACAGGGCAAGTGACCTGGAAATCTCAGCAGGTATTAGGAGGAGGAAGAAGGTGAGAATATGGTGATCACACCAGGAAAAAAGACAGAACTGGGTTTCTGGGACCTTTGTTCTTTGTTTTATTGAAGGGGCCCCAAATTGCCATCCTCTCAGGGTGATCCTCTCAGGTGATGAAGCTCCCTGGGTCTTGGGCTTGAAAGCTGTACAGCACCTGTTCTCACCAACCAAGGGGAAATGTTTAACTTTAATGCTGTTTGGTTTACCTTGTACTGAGTACTGAGCTCTGTCTTCTTTTTTGAAATCTTTAATTCCCTGCATCTACACGGGAATTACTGACCACTGACCAAGTCTTCTGTCTCAGAGGAAACTGACATATTGACATTCATGTCTCAAATGATGCTGGGGAAGAGATAGAGGGTCCCTTCTTTTTTTCCCGTCTCCCTGCAGAGTATCTTTCCTATTATCGTGAGAACACTTTGTTTTGTGGGGGTTTTTGTGGCAGTCCCCTGGGTCCTATGGTCCTGTCCAGCAGTCCGCCCCAGTGAGGCCCACCACAAGGGGGATCAGGGAGAGGGGAGCGCGCTGTCTGCCGGTTTTGCCAGCCCTCTTCGCGGATGATAATCAGACGCGACAGGGACTCTACTCAAGCAGGAACTCGTTTATTGCAAGCATTACAGAGCTTATAAAGGCATTAACCGCAAACGGAAATCCCCCTCCCCCTGAAGGTGTCCAGTCAGCTTAAAGGTCAACCAAGCACGTGGGCAGCACTTCATGGATTTCAATGGTGAACACTCGCTGATCACATGCTCCTCAGGAGTGTGGAAATGGCTGTTAGCCAATCCAAAGACTTTCAAAACAAGTCAGGCCACGCCCTGCTTTCTTCCTCTCCATGCCATCTTTGCAGGGCCATCTAGGTCCCTACACCTCGCCCTTTTGTTTTTATTTTAACAGGCTGGCTTTAGGCATCCTCCCTTTCACAGTTTACCCATATTGGAGCAGTTTCCTGAGGAAAGGTGGTTAGCCCTTTTCCCTGAGCCAAACATCCCAGTCTGTCTTAGGTTGCCCCTGCTCTGACCAAGACTTGCCCGTCATTGGATAGTGCACCTGGCTATGTGCATCTCGTGTCTTAGCAGTACTTGTCAGGAGGGAATCTTACCCATCATTGACATGGGATGTGTTAACCTAGGCAAGGACAACCGCATGGGGGACGCCAGCCCGTGAGGGGTCATTCTCGGCCTATCTCAGTGAGCCATGCACGGACTACCCTGGGAGGGGGCGTGGTTTCGGGGGATTGAAGGGCCATGAGGATCTGCAGGGTGGTTTTGTTGGTGGCCTTCTGCCTGCGAATATGCTGATAAAGATACAATAGTAAGTAAAACACCCAGAAACTGATCTTGTGTCCCTGGGTGGGACCCATGTTGATCTTTGGGTGGGTCAGTTGGTCAAATTGTTACGTCTGAGCCTCTCACAGGTCAGGACAATGACAAACATAAGCCCCATATGATGATCACCACCGTGAAGGCCAACAGCAAGGTCCATCAAGGTCTTTGCATTTCTCTGTGGGAGGGAAACAAGAATTTGATCTCATGGGTCTATTGCCCATGGACAAACAGGTTAATTCTTTTTAATCTTTTATAGCTGCCATGTCAGCTTGGTTGGACTGTGTGTAATATTTAAGATTTCTGGTGGGTACCCATATGGGCACAGACTCATCTACAGGGAAGACACATCTGAAGCCTTGCCCTATGGTCAATAGTGGGCCAGGGCCTCTCCAGCCTCCTGTGATGGGGTCTTTCCATTTTACCTGTACTTCAGGTTGTTGCTCTTGCCTTCCCCAATGTCTCTGGAATTTGGATTCTGATTGATTTATTTGAAAATCAAGGACATTGATAGTAAACAAGGCCATGAGCAATTGCTGGTGGGGGCTACCTCCCCCTTTTTGTTTTTATAATTGCAGCTTTATGTTTTGATGGTTGCATTCGACAATTGCTTGGCCTTGGGGATTGTAAGGAATCCCTGTATTATGTTGGGTTTCCCAAACTTTAAAGAAGTCTTGTAAGCTTTGACTTATGAAACATGGTCCATTGTCAGTTTTGACCCTTTGGGGTAGCCCCAAAGTTTCGAAGCACTGGATGAAATGGCTCTGGGCATGTTTTGATTTTTCCCCAGAGTGCACTGTGGCCCAGCAGGCATTGGAGTACGTATCAATGGACACAAATATATACTTAAGCTTTCCAAAGGATGGGAAGTGGGTGACATCAGTCTGCCATAACAAGTTAGGCTTAAGGCCTCTAGGATTTACCCCTGGTGGTTGAAGTGGCAGCACCTGAAGAAATGGCTGACATGATTTGCAGGTACGTACAATCTTTTTTTAGGTCTTTGATAGGAACCTGGGGAAATCTCTTATGAAGCCCTCGCCAATTGACATGAGTGAGATTATGTAGGCCTTGGGCTTTAGTTATATTAACTGATATGATTTGAGTGGAGTCCAGTCTATCTGCTTCAGCATTACCTTGGATCAGAAAGCCAGGCAGGCCCTGGTGGCCTCTGAGGTGGTATAAGGAAATGGGATGTTCCCTTTCTCTAAGGGGTGTGTGGGTCTGAATCATCAGAGTTGTAATGGGGTTCTTATCTACTCTAATGTATGATCCCAAGAGTCCAGGGAGGAGATTTACCACATATAGGCTGTCTGAGAACAAGTTCATGGGCCCTTTTACTTTAGTTAAGGCCAGAACAATAGCCATAAGTTCTTTGAATTGAGCCGAGCCATCACATGGATGTGTGTAACTGTGACCCATCATTTTCTTTGGTATAGACCACAACAGTGGCTCCATATTGCAACCCCCCCGTGAACACATTGCATGCTTTCGCCAAGGGCTATTGGTGAAGGAGTTGGGGGGCCCTCCATGGGAGGGCACGAAAAGAAGTTACCCACTGGTGAGGGTCATAGTGGCAGTCGAGGCTCCCTCAAAACCCCTCAAGGCTTAAGGTCAGCCGGCTATTGTTTTTACACAGCCATTCGAAGTCCACGAGCTGATAGGGGATGATGATCTTGTGAGGGTCCAGGCCATAATATCTCACAGCCAATTCACGCCCCTTTTCTAGAAGGTCTGCTAGCTGATCAGTGGGTGTATAGACCCACGGTACATTCCCCAGGGTGGCATGCACCCATTGCAGGGGATTTCTGCCCTGTACAAGGACTGATGTCATTAATGACTCTCCAGGTAGCACCCAGAGTTCTGGGAGGAGTCGTACTGGCTTAACCTGGCTTTATTTATAGCAACCTGGATCTGATGAAGAATCTCAGTGTTGGGGATTAATATAGATCAAGTCAGAAGATTGTTTATCAGCTAGTAGCTGGAACAGGAGCTTCATCATCTCGGTTGAGACAGGAATCCAGG